TTCAGACACAGTTCGTAGACGCAAGATTTTTCGTCACCTGGAGGCATACGATGAATATAGTTTGCGCTCTGTCCTCTGAATTTGCCTCCAGTTACACGCATTATTAACGACTATACAACCGGGTAGGAAAGCAATTATTCTACTTTGTTGTTTTTACCAGTTGACTGAGTTTGTTCGCTCATATAATGCATTAGCGTGAAGGTAAAGGTGTCCGGGAGGTCGTCTCGCGCAAGACCGGTTCTAGATGACGACGGCGTCCGGGAGGGTTTATTCTTTTTTCCGTAACAAAGGGATTAAGTGGTCGGATCGAAAAAAAATTAAGTGTTATACAGGATAGAGACTTGGCACCATTTTGACATGCCACGATGCATGCTTCAGAAAGAAAATTTTTTCACATGGGAAAAAAATGCGGTGGAGGAGCTGGGATCCATTTGCCTGCTTGTCCTATCAAAACACTATCCAGACCAATCATACATGTTTTCGGTTGTCTCGGTCGCGACACTCAGCAGCCTCGATTACATGACATTTCACCAAGCATCGCCAACGCCTAAGAGGTAACGCCGAATACACTAACCCAAAAGATCACCAACGATTGATTTATGGAAAGCCTTAAAATTCTGAACGTAGCACGTAGATCAAGAAGGCTATGAGACTCTGTGAGAATCGCCTGAGCTACCGCGATATCGCGAAGTATACATACGTATGTTGACGCGTTCACACAAAGAGTGAAATATACAGACGTCATTGAATAGGTGACAAATGGGTAACCATAATGTCTGCTATCTTGGAGACATGAAAAGCGGATCGATAACTTCAACATGTTTTCGAGGAGGAAGAAGGCAAAACAAATGTTAAAACGATTAGAGCTGCATATATATCCCATTAACTGAAGACAATAACACAGTGCGCAAGCGTAAATTGCAATTATATAGGCAAAAAAACGTAATCACTTCGACATCCTTGGAGAACGGTGTGGCTGGCAGCTTGCAAAAAAACAAACAATCGAACGGTGAATAGCCTGAGCCGATTGCGGCACAAACTTTTCTATGTTAGGCGGGCGACGCTGACGTTGCCTATTGGTTGTTGATATTGATAGGTGATTAACTAAATTTTCTTAGCGTGCGTAACTGCCAATGCAGTTCAGGAGGGCAGAGAGGGATTAACCTTACACCTCTTGAATAGATTCCAATGGTTAATAGCTGAGCTGGAGCTCATTTTCGTTAGTAGTAGGGACATGGAAAGGTTATCTCAAGGGTACGGTTTTGTCAGTTGCCCTTTGGTGTTATGGAGCCGGTATTCTGCACCAGATAAATGTGAGTCGGCGAACGGTTGATCTCTGTCAGCTGAATATTTAGCCAAATTTTCGTTAAAGATTCACTCCTACTGCCATAGGCATGAGGCCTAATAAGAGGTTCAGAGTCCGCGAACGCCATCAGAGCGGAAGAAAGTTTTTACGAGTCATTGCCCAGAATTGATGCAAGGCATATGCATTTAGAAAATTAGTGACAGCTCTTTTGAAGAAATGGTAGCTGTATGGAACTTTCGTATATCATATTTTCAATTGCAGTTGCCTTTAACGAAAAGAACTGAAGATATCTAATTAGAAAAATTAAATATGTCATCTCGGTGACAAAAATGCTGAAAGTGGCCATGCTGCATCGGAGTGGTAAAGAAAATTGGAGGTACGACTGGACCAACGGGCAGCGCGTATAATTTGGGGGTGTTTGCTGACCCTAGGCGAGGTCACTGAGGTGCATATTTTACATTATCACTTACCCTCCGCTGAACCAACGGTGAGAGAGTGTAAACTTGGGTGTGTTTGGCGAACGAACCAACTATTGCATCTTAGCGGACACGCGGCAGAAGAAAACGGAAAGTATGCTTACTAAATAGTAGGAAGTAGATTTTCTGTTTCGCAAAAATGTTTGGCCTCACAAATCCTTCTTGCCCTCGGATGAAGGAAACTCCATCTGCCAATTTGAGAAGGTACGCAGGTCTGCATTGATTTTATGAACGCAAATGTTGGCCACTCCCTCAGGGAATGAACTAGTACATTTACGGTCGTCTGCGTTAATTTTTGAGTATCTTTTAAATTTCATTTATGTACAGAATGAAGGGAGGGGAACCAACACCCTGTCTTCGAAAAGGCCATCAGTGATCAGCTGAGGCGTCGAGTAACTACTACTTACTAGGGCTTACTGGTCGCGATTAGAGAAGTAAGAATCAGTGATGTCGAGAAGAGGAGGCCAGATGCCGTGGGCATCCATTTTCAATAGAAAACGAGTGTGTGGTACCGGTAGGAAGAAATCGTAGGGCTGCCCCATTAGCAAATTCTCCCAACACAACTGTCTGGCGGAATTCGGGCTCAAGCTCAAGTGCTTTATTAAGGCATAGCTATTGCATGTTTAATGCGTGATAAGGGCGCTGAAGAAAGTAAGAGTAAAACGCTTGTACTTGATTTACTGAACTAAACTGTAACTGAAAATGTTGCGAAAAGAACAAAGACCAAGAGAAACTCTTTTTAGTTAGCAAAGGAAGCCTATAAAGAACAAACCCGTAACAATAAATCGTGATAATTAGCATACGAAGCCTAAAGACCAATGCGACTTCGTATAAACTGTTAATCATGCATCCAAAGAAATTTAGTTGGAGAAAAATAAAGTTCTTTAGGATAAAAGGGTAAATTTAAATTGTGAATTGTTGAGACTGATCCTTCAGCTCGTCGCCGGACTAACGACAAATGGACAAATTAAA